GATGAACAAGAGGATGAACAAGAGGATGAACAAGAGGATGAACAAGAGAATGAACAAGAGAATGATGAAACAAATAAACAAAGTCAAGTTGATGATAATAATAACAATAAACAAGAAATTAACAATAAGGTTGATGATAATAACATGAATACCAATGCTGATCAACACGATATGGAAGAGACAGGTAATCGTAGGCGCGTAAAGCGAGTTATCCTAAGTGACTCGGAAGAAAGTGACAATGATGAGACCAGCAGCCCCAGATTAAGGCTAGGCAGTCCAGGCCTGCATAAATCAATGGCGAGCAAACCAAAGCCAAAAGAAAAAAATGATTATGTTGTAGAAGAAGCTGAAGAAGAAGAGGATGAGTTCTTTGGGATGGGTGGACCTGATATAGAAGAGACCGAGGATCTGGATCAATATGAACAGGATGGTGTTCTTGTTGAACATAATGAAGACACAGAAAATGTAGACGATGCCACGCTTAGGGCAATGTTCAAGTAATGTTTAACTTTTAATGCCTGTAAACTTTTTTATTAATGTCTCTTATAAGTCAACAGGATGCTGAATCTGATAAAAATATGGTAGAACGTCTGATAAAGGATATCACAAGTGGTGGCCTGAGAAAAAGAAAGGCTGCCCTGGAGGAAGGTTTTATGTTTGATGATCTCGATCTCTATGACGACGACGATGATGATTTAGCAGCCATAAGAAGGGCTGCTGCTGCCAAGAGACGTAAAATGCTACAAGAAAATGGGGATGCACTGGAAGCATTAGGTAACGATTTACACTAGTTGCTTCTCTATATATTCACATTGTACTGATCTCTTTTTATACAAATAGCACAAAACCCAAAGACTGCAGCATTTGCTAAAGCTGCTAAAGCAGTGATGGATGAAAGTTGTATTCCTTCTATTGATCTTAGCGATGACGATGATGATCCAATCGATACTGAAGAAAATAGAGAGAGAACACTGAATGCATATCTCGAAGATGACGACGATGATGATGAAGAGGATAAAAAAGATGGAAACAATGGCGCATTTATATCTGATGACGACGAGGATGCCGAAGAAGAACTGCCGTATATCATTTGCCCACTTCCAGCATCAGTTCAATAATAATACAATTTATGTAAATATTCGTATAATACACATCCTTTTATATATATCTACACTACTCTTCTTTTTGTTGTTGTTCTTGTCTTTTTGCACGTTCAAGCTCACCAATGAACCTAATAAGCATATGTTTTAATATTCATACAGCCTTGTCTGTTTTTATAGGTTACCATCTTATTGTCACAAACAGACAGATGGCAAGTAGCAATAGTGCAATCACGTGTGGGTTTCCTCCAGTGATGACAATCATAAAGAGTAAAGTAGCGAAGAGTACATAGAAAGTATAAAACATGATCTTGATGACTCCTTTTGCAGTATAACCTGGAGTCATGATGGACTTTACAATGTCATCCGCAAGTCCATTAGTTTCCATATTCTTCTCTCTCTTGCTAAAAAGTTTTGTTGCAGTAAACATTTTATGATTGAAAATAGTTCGCCCATTTAAATGCTGAGAATCAATTACGGCTCAAATAGTGTAAAAAGAGAAGGGGGTCTTTTTTTTGTTTTCTTTATCTTTAAATGAAATCTTGGTTGCAACGTCCAGAGACAAAGAAATATGCAGCAGACGGTACAGACATACATACTAGAAACATATGAATAGTTTTTATCAAAATGAGAACATATCAGTAATATTTTATTAGTTGCATTGTTTGCGATTTCACAAGTAGCATTTTACTTTGCTTTCAAATACGTTCTCAAATCACTTGATCCCAACAAAGCAAAGCGCCAAGAAGCTAAGGCAAGAAGTAATCGTGTCCTTGGAAAGCTTGGTGTAAGCTTAGCTGTTTTATTAAACAGCATATGTTGACTCTTTTCAATAGAAAGATATCAAATTGAATGAATACGAACAGATTATTGCAGCAGAAATCATTCATGCTGAAGAAATTAATGTCACTTTTAAGCGTAAATATTCTTTAATATAGTAGAGTTTGTGACATGAGGCTAAAAACAAGTTTTTTTAAAAAAAAATAGAGATTGGAGGATTAGACAGCATCATTCAAGAACTTCGTGAAAGTGTCATCTACCCACTTTGTTATCCAGGACTATTCACTTCAGCTTCTGGACTTTTGGGCGCACCTAAAGGTGTCTTGCTCTACGGTCCCCCTGGATGTGGAAAGACGATGCTTGCAAAAGCATTAGCCAGAGAAAGTGGAGCGACCTTTATCAACGTTCACGTGTCTACATTGACAGATAAATATTATGGTGAATCCAATAAGCTGGCAGCTGCTGTATTTACCTTGGCCAGAAAGCTTCAGCCTTCTATTGTATTTATTGATGAAATAGATTCCTTTTTACGTGAACGTCGAAGCACAGATCATGAAACGACAGGAATGATGAAGGCTGAATTCATGAGTCTCTGGGACGGTTTGACGACGGGAGAGGATACTCGAATTGTCATCTTGGGTGCAACAAATAGACCTAATGATATCGATTCGGCCATTCTCAGAAGAATGCCTAAACGGTTTGCTGTTCGATTGCCAAGTGCGGACCAAAGAAGAAGTATCCTCGAACTTGTAAGTTTAGTAGTCATGATTATTTCTGCTTACTCATTTTCTTTATTTCTTTTTTGGTGTAGCTATTAAAAAATATTACATTGGCTTCAGACTTTAATATGAATGAATTAGTTCAAAGAACTGCAGGATTATCGGGTAGTGACTTGAAAGAACTCTGTCGTAACGCAGCTATGATACCAATTCGTGAATATGTTCGATCCGTTCATTCAGGAATTGACAGTGAAAATGCAAGTCAAGACTTGATGAACTTGGACCTATCAAAGGTAATATTTTAAAATGATATTGTTTACTGCTTTTATATAACATGAATGTATTATAGAAAGTCAACACTCGTCCATTGACATTGGCTGATTTTTATGCTTCCGAGAACCACGAAAAGACACACAATTACTCCAGTGATTTGCCTCAGCAAGAGAACCTTGACTAACTTACTGTATTCAGAAATTATTTGCACATTGATAGAAAATAAAGTAAATAATAAAAGAGAGCCCATCAGAAGTAAAAGAATGGGATATAAAAAGAAATGATTAGTAAATCAGTTTTTACGTTGATGTTAAATACTTATATTATAAAGAGGATTCATAAAAGAGAGTAAGCATTTAAAAGATATTATTAAGGAGGGCTCATAAAGCTTTAATTTAAATAAACATGTCAATCTACATTTCCTACAAGTTTGAAGCTTGAAAACATGGACATGAAGGAGCAATGATTTTCTAAATATTTGATCATAATTTGCGGAAACTAAGTTACGGTTTTATGCGAAAACTAGCGTTTATATAAAAGAGGACAATGTTTATTCTGGTTACAGTAAACGAGTGATTTTGCCAATTCCTTTTGTTCGTCCTTCTCTAAAGATCTAGTAATATATTAAATTTACCTTTTATCTAAAAGAAATATCCCCTACTTACCAGCCGTGATCCAACTGTCAGATATTCTGGATTCTTGACAAACTCAAATTCCTAATTATAAAAAAAAAGGTGATTAGGGATCATCCAACATACTTTTATGATCAACTTACAACTTTGGCTCGGTCACCTGTTCGCAGCACTTCCTTTTCGGCAGTGATGATGCTTGCCGTTTGACGTACAGCTCCACAGTGGACCATGGCCTGATACCGAGACTTGATAGTTGTTGAATGGTAAAGAACCAAGATTTCAGCTTCAAAACGCCGTGATACCTTGGGCATCGGCTGATCTTTATCGTGAGTGAGCAAGACTTGGCCCTTTCTAATCGCGCTACGTCGAATATTCTTCAATGCCAATGTTACTGACTGTCCTGCTGTTGCCGCCGGTACGTTGACTCGTTTACGATGGATACCCTTGACGGACGTGGTGACAAATTGTCCAGCAGAATCAGGACCAAGAATGACCTTGTCGCCCACATGAATCACTCCGCTTCGCATGATGCCGCTAACGACTGTACCCACGAACGGAACCGAATAAGTTTCATTGATTTCATAGTGGAACGGTTTATCAGTTTCGTATCTTGTCAAAGAAGGGAGAGCGTTCAAAAAGTTTCTGACCAGATCCAAGCCTTGACCGGTGACGTTACTGACCTGGAAGATTGGACACAGACGTTCGCTAACAAAATTTTGCTAGAGAAAATATCAAGTCAATCATGGTTATAACAACAATGATTCAACTTACTGCAGTCACCACCACATCATGATTATTCTGGACAAACAGTGGTATCTTTCTGCATGATTTGGACTTTAATATCTTTGTCAGGTCACGAATCGTTTGTTCAAGCACATGGGCCGGACATCGATCAATCTTTGTGATCACAACCAAGACGGGTATAGCCAGTGATAAAGCGAGGCCCAAGTGTTCCTTTGACATACCGATCATACCAGCATTTGCACCAACCTAAAGAAAAAGTTAATATTCATCAAATCAATCTCAGTCGATGAAAAAGCTTACCATAAGCATTGCAAAATCAGGAGCACTGCCAGTCATTCCAAACACGGTTGTCTGTTATTTACAATCATCAATCTCTTTTCATGTCAATATAAACCGCGTTACCTTTAGATACTTTTCGTGTCCTGCCAGATCAACAAAACTTATCACCTTGGCTGCCTTTTCCGTAATTTCTTCCCATGTCAGCTTCTTGCCTGTTCCCGCTGGATGAAGGATCGGCCGTGAATGAGAGTCAAAGCCCAAGATTTCACCACCTACACTGGATGTTCTACCGGATTCGATTTCATGTTTATGACGAAATAAGTTCACTCTGGCCTTTCCTCGACCGTCATCCAAGATACCCTTTGTCAAGACTCCCAACATGGTAGACTACATAAGTTATGAGGGATGCTGCCAAGTGAAAACAATCGCCTCTTTACCTTTCCAGCATCTACATTCCCTACAACCGCTACTCTTGCTTCCAACACATCCTGTACTGATTTTGGACGCTTTCTGAGCATGAAATGAGATACTTTCTGCGCGTTTGATTCCGTTGCCTTGTTAATATCCAACTGTATTAGTTCGTCGATATTGGCCAGGTCAGCATCGAGTGATTCAGCCAAGGTGGTTAATGTCTTTATACATTTGTCATACTCATCTATTGTCAAATTCATCGGTGCCCCATCATCTATAATGCACTTGTGTAAACGTGTGTGTGTTTAACGAATGTTCTTCTTCATACCTTCAACGCCTATTTCGAACAATGTCTCGCCTTTTCCATGCTGCATACGTGTAGATATGATATCCTTAAGCCACACCATGTCCTCTTCTTTGGCTTGTATCAGTCTTTCCTATGAGCCAGGTGTTATTTATAATCGTGTTATTGTGACCTGATCTTACTTTGAGTGTTCTATGCTCGACATCTTCGTCGTCATGCTTTTGTTGGTCGTTTAATGAGACATTGTATAATGCTGAAACAAGTCGCCTTGCTTCCTCGTCGTGTGCTGTGTCTTTTGTGGTGATAACCATATTAATATAATAAATAACAAGACAGAAAGAAATGTCCCACCTGTGTATTTATATGCTACTATGAGCATACGGAGTTTAAATCAATGGAGCATTACCCTAGACACACCTTGGTTCGTGCACGCTTTCATGAAGTATCCGCAGCTTTATGCGTCTTGATGAGTCATGAATGAGAATGCGGCGCAGTTGTTGAAAGACCAAGTCCTAACTGTAGGTTTCATCATTCTCTTCTTTCTGGATCTTTTTGATCGGCGAGTGTAACACAGTGGAATTTTATGCAACTAGGTGAAAATTGGGAGTTTAATATGAATATAAAAGTAATGTTTAATCCAAAGTGATTGTCATCTTTGAATATAAGGAGAATAAGAAGGGGCATAATAAGTAATCATGAGTATGAATGACGTGTGTGCGCAGGCATTAAAGAATATATTGGTGCCACATTTTTTATTTTTTTCATCTGCGCTAATTGTATTGTTGAGTGACAGAACACATTTTTCTAAAGTCATGTATGCAAAAAAAAAAAAAGACACTACAGGCAAAGCACTGGGGATGAGTGGCGCTTTTAATTAAAAATAAGCTAAAAGCATAACCCCCTTTTGATCCCCCCCCCTTCTTTTTCTCCAGTACACATCAAGGTTATCACACAAAATTTTGATTTATTATAAAATGAAATTATTGTATAAACAATGGGAAAGGATTAGAATTGTAAACAGTAAATATAAATACAATGTAATATATTAAAAATAATCTTCTTCTTCAAGTTCTTGGTCTGCTAATTCAATAGCACCACTTAATATTGCTTTTACTTGTTCAGCTAAGCATAATTTCGGGTGAGGTTCGTCTTCAAATATAGAAGTACTTGTTGTTGAAGAGGTACAATGAGTTGAGAGTGTATAAGACGAACAGGATTCAATTTCGATCTTTTCACTTGGTTTTCCTTTCTTTTTTCTTGAATAGCCGTCGTCTCTAAATAAGCGTGATAACCGATGAATCAAGTGGCGTCGAGTCATGTAATAAAGTCAAGGAAAAGAAGAAGAAAAGAGAAAAAACAAGTTGCTATTTATAATATCATCACCAGTTACAGTCGCATGCAGTTTGGCGTATACTTATCCCACTTTCATATACGCACGCATACACAATAGGCATTTTTACCTTTGTTAACCTTTCGATTTCTCCTCCTTTTTTAGTTTAGTGACACTCTTGTGCATAAAAAAGTAACCACTAAACTATATGCTTTCTCTTTCCCCTTTTTTTCCTTTGGCTGCTAATTTGTGTCCCTTAGAACATGCTTATTTGCCACCATATTCGGGTTATTAAACCCTATTCATTTATCAGATCAACGAATGGGTTTCTTTATGGTTTTATGATGTAGAAATTTCATACGCGCTCACACACGAACCTCAATTAGAAATCGACAAGATAGATTGTAAGCAGCATTGTTTCTTCGTAAACATTGGATATTTCGTGGCCTCCTTTTTAGGTCACGTCTCGCATTCAATAGCATTGGGAGTACCATTCTGTTATTTGAATTAAGAATAACAGATGCTCTCCCTCATTTACTTTTGAAATATATACAAATAGATCATTAAGTGTATTCAACAGTAAAGGATATGCAATTCTTTCATTGTCGGA